GAAAAATAACGTTTGGCTCTGAAGAGGAATCCTAGTTTCTGGGAGGCTGACTTGGCCATGTTAGCTATGTGATGGTGCCATTTAAGGTTTGATGAAAGGCACACGCCTAAAATAGAGATATTCGATGAAGGAAGTAGCGTTTCGTTGTCAAAAGAGATGGTAGGACTAAAAGGCTTGGTTTTCTTCGTGAAAAGGGTGAGCTGCGTCGTCAGGGAATTGAACCGGACCAAATTAGTTGAGCCCCATTGCAGAATCTTCTGGAGATCGCAATCGATGGAGGAGAGCAAGGTGTTTCTAGAGGAATTTGTTTGAGTAGAGGTCGGCTGCTTCGTGAAAGAGTAACCAGCATGGAGTTCCAACAGGTTATGGGCTCATCAAGCTGAACTGCGCAAAGTAACTTCGGGATCCGTGGAGATCGTGCGAAATTCGAAGCTGAGTGACTCTGCAGAAGGAAACGTGCGACGAGTGAACGAATCATCCGAACTCAGTCCGAGAGAAAAATGGGCTCGACAGATGAGGTCAAAATCATTGTGGAAAAGCTGAACAATGCGGATGACTGGCCGAAGTGGAGGTGGCAACTCGGATTGGCATTCAGAGCGAATGCCTTGCAGAGCGTCGTGGATGGCTCGGAGCCTCAGCCCGAAGCCGCTGATGCGGAAAAATTGCAGAAGTGGATAATGAGAGATGCGAAGGCGATGAACATGATCACTAACGCTCTCGGGAAGTCTACTGCAAAACTCGTGCTCACCTGTGGCTCAGCGAGCGAGATATGGAAGAGACTATGTGCTAGATTCGAGAGAAGCTCCACTCAGCGGCTGGACTCTCTGATCGAACAGTTCTTCCGGGCTCAGCGGGATGAAGCTGAGGACATGGCAATGCACATAGCGAATCTTCAGAAATTGTTGGTCGATCTGAATTTGGAGCTGGAAAAGCACATGGAGAATCAGCTTTCGGAGAGAATCCTCGTCGGTCGTGTTCTGTCTACTCTGGGGAAAGATTTCAACCACTTCAAGGTAGTGTGGGAAACAATCAAGTCCGGAGAGCAAACCGTGAATCTGCTGATGGAAAAATTGTGCAACATCGAGATGAGGGATTCAAATCGAGAGGGTCAGGCATTCGCGGCCAGCGAACCGGGGAAGCCTAAGCAGCCGAATGCCTCAGCACAGCGAGAAAGCAGGATTTCGCAGAAGAAGAAACGTTTCCCCTGTAGGAAGTGTCACAAACTGGGCCACTGGGCAGCCGAGTGTACATCGCCGACAGAGACAACGAATAAGACAGGTTTCCTGTGCAATGCCTTCAATGCGTGCATCGGCGAAGAATACAAAGACCAGTGGATCTGCGACAGTGGAGCGTCTGTCCACATCACCAATGGCAACACCTGCTTCAAGACGTATACTACGTTCGATCTTCCGAAGCAGATGTACCTCGGTAAGAGGGGCATGTTCATGGAAGCCCTGGGTGAGGGGTCGATCGGGATAAAGCTGCGCAGCGGCGATCGCTGGGTCGAAGGAGAGCTTCTGAACGTCTGGTTTGTTCCGGAAGCAAGTGTAAACCTTTTCTCAGTGAAAGCTGCGGTGAAGAACGGTTACGCGACGACAATCACTGAAAGCTCCGTCACGATTCGGCCAATAGAAGGCAGTGGCTTGGAGGCACAGGGACATGAGCAAGGAGGATTGTACGTGTTGGACATCCGAACCATCCCGTTCGGCTCGGAGGAGATCAGTCTTCTGGCTTCGAGAGATGTTCTTCAGGTGTACCACGAAAGGCTTGGACATCAGAATAAACAACACGTGAGGGAAGTCCTCAAGAAAATGGGAATCGGACTACCGACGAAGACTGACACCTTCTGCGACGGCTGTGCCGTTGGTAAGATGCATCGATTGCCCTTCAGGTCTCGGCCAAGTCAGAGCAACAAAGTCGGGGAGCTGATTCACGCCGACGTAAACGGTCCGATGTCGGTCTCGTCGGTCGGAGGCTCGAGATACTTTGTCTGTTTCAAGGACGACTATAGTAAGTTCCGCCGAGTTTTCTTCATGACAAACAAAAGCGAAGTGTTCGAGTCGCTTGAAACTTTCCTAAACGAGGCGAGGACTGACGGACATACAGTCAAGGCATTCCGGAGCGATGGTGGGAGCGAATTCGTGAATTCAAGAGTGTCTCAGCTACTTTCCAGGCACGGAATCCGACCGCTGATCTGCCTTCCTTATACAACTCAAGTGAATGGTTCCGTTGAGCGAGAGAACCGCACTGTCGTCGAAGCCGCGCGGTCTATGCTGAATTCAACGGAATTGGCCAGATCCCTCTGGACCGAGTCGTGCAACACAGCGGTGTGTTTCTTGAACCTAGCTGCCTTTGTCGTCCGTCGACGGCAAGTCGCCATTCGAACTCTGGTATGGACGACAAGTCAGCAGCATAGGTCATCTCCGAATATTCGGAACTGAATGCTATGTCTTCACCGAAGATCGCTTCCGGAGGAAGTTTGATGACAAGGGAGGATTGGGATTCGTCGTGGGATACGTGATTGACTTTGATGGTCACAGAGTCTGGGTTCCGTCCCTAAATGGAATCGTCTGCACACGTCATGTAAGGTTCAAAAACGAGATCACCTGCAATAGTCGAGACAATATCAATCATGTCGAGATAGAGACCAAACATGTTCACGGTCAAACGAATGAGCTCGAGGCCGCCACAACGGAGACAACGTCCTCGGAGAAGACTCAAGATGGAGAAACGCAAGCGGAATCAGACGGAGAGTTCGAGGATGCCTTGGAAATCTCAGCGGCTCCTCGGGAAGCCGGTGAAGAGATGAGTGCTCGGGATGAGCAAAATGCTCTCAACGATATACCGGATTCCGACACGGTGCCTCCGGGAGACAGTGAGGAGGACTCCCAAAGCATTCGAGCTGATGAGACCAACGTGGGTCTGAGGAGAAGTACCCGCGTGTCCAAACTGCCGTCAAGATACTCCGCAGAGGATTTCGCACTTCTGACGTTCTGTCCCACGTCGTACGACGAGGCCATGAAGAGCGCAGAGAAGGAAAAATGGATGGATGCTTTCCGAGAAGAGCTCGATTCTATCCGTGAAAACGACACGAGATCTGTGACTCTATACGTTGATAATGCCAGTGCAGTGAAGCTCGCGAAGAACCCCGAGTTCCATAAACGTACGAAACATATTGAGACCAGGCATTTCTTCGTTCGAGAAAAGTTCTTAGAGGGGCACCTGATTGTGAAACACATCGAAGGTCTTAATCAAGCCGCTGATATATTTACGAAACCATTGGACAAGACACGTTTTCAATTTTTAAGAGATAAGATCGGCGTTCAGCCAAAAGATTTGTGGAGGAAGTGTTGAGACGAACAAATATTTGACTTTGTGCTGTAATCTAAATAATTCTTAGGAAAGCCCGCTGCGGTAGACAATAACCCTGATAAGAGGTATCGTTCAACTCGAAGAATTAATGCGCGCACTCGAGCCGAGTAAGCGTATGCGTAAGCAACTGACGCCGCTCTCATTCCTAGAAACTCCCGAAGTTCGATCATAAAACAGTTAGCTTTGGACTTAGTTCCAACACTCCCCACGTGACACGCACCATTTGGAATGTCTTGATCGCGCTCGATCCGGGGGCCCGCCATAGGAAACGGAAGAACGGCTGATCCGTTGCGTTGACCGCGATCCTCATGTAGGCACGCGGAATATCGGTGGACAAGGCGATCGGGTGCGACCTGGAGTTGAGAAGGAAGGAGACAAGGTCGGGGTTGAGATTCGGACCGGGAAGTAAATGATCGTTCAATGACGTGGCTCCCTTTTGTTTTGCTGAGCAGTCAAATACAATCCGCCACTTCTCCTTGCCGCTGGAAGACGTCACCACCTCGGGATGAGGCGTAAAATCGGAGCCATCGACTGCGGAGAACTCCGCCGGCTCGAGGTTCTGGATCTCGACCGCGAATCCTTCGTCAACGAATTTCATGAGCTCAGTATGGTAACGCTGGTATTTGTCTGGCTCGAGAAATGTAGATGATGACGCGGATACTTGAGTTCGTTACCGGAACTGGGGTTCATTATTGTTTCCACAATTGGGCGCGAAGCCAGATGGCGCTGTCAGGATGGCGCTAGATAGGAATCCTACATCCTCCATATCTTAATGGAATTATTTTTTGTTTGCTTACATCTTATTAGTTATTCGAGTGCTAATCACATCCGCGGTTATGAACAATATTTATGAATAGCGGTTGCGTTTAAGATCACTCAGGTTTCGAATTCTCTCAGAGCGCCGTGGGGTGATCGGAGTTTCTGACTTTCTTTTTCGGACGTATTAAGGGGGTTTTCCTGGTCGGTATGAGTTGCGGGAGCCGGGATTCGAGCTTCCGGGTCGGTGGTGCCTGTGCTCGCAGATGGCTCATGTTTCTTCGGTACATCCCTCCGTTTGTTAAGTCCTTCACTTCGTAAGACCGTGGCACGTTCAACACTTTTACAACGATTTCCCGGCGTTCCAATTTTTTGTCTTCGGGTCTAAGATTCTCACTTTCTCATCGGCTCTCAGAGGGCTGCGGTCGTGTGCTGTACGATCATACTCTTTCTTTTGCTGTTTTCGAATTTTTTGGAGCTCTTTTCGGACGATTTCCGGTTTCACGACGCGTGGTTGTAGCTGCGACTTGAGTGTTGGTACCAGAGTTCGCGGTTGCCGCGACATTAGGCGCTGACACGGCGATTTCAAGAGTTCTGTTCTCGGGGTCGACCTGACCTCGAGCAGAGCGTTGTAGAAATCTGGAGTTCCGTATTTGACCTTTTTTAAGAGTCTTTTTGCCTCCTGCACAGCCCTCTCGGCCATAGAGTTGCTTTGAGCGTAGAGCGGGCTGCTGGTCCTATGTGAAATGTCGAACCTGCGAAAAAGTTTCTGCAGGTCGTCATTTACGTACTGCGTCGCGTTGTCTGACCGGAACACCTCGGGGTAGCCGTGTCTCTGGAATACTTCCCACAATGCTTTTATGACGGCGCTCGCCGACATGCTCGGCAGACGCGTGATTTCCCAGAAAAAACTGTAGTGGTCAACAATGACCTGATAGTTTTCTCCCTCGTGGTGCAAGATGTCCGCGCTTACGATTTGCCACGGGTATGTCGGGATCTTACTCGAGATGAGGGGTTCTTTGGGAATCCGGTGATGATCGCGTTGGCAACCCTCGCAGTTTTGTACTCGTATTTCAATGTCTCGGTGGATAGTGGGCCAGTATATGGAGCCCTGACTTCTTCTCTGCATGCTCTGCGCATTTCGATGTGATGCATGGAGCTGATCGAGGACCTCTGCTCGTCGGTTGGCAGGTACGATGATTCGCCCGGTTCGCAACACGAGACCCTTGTAAACATGGATCTCGTCTCTGTATGGCCAAAATCGCCATATCTTCTCAGGCACCTCCTTCTTATCATTTGGCCAGCCACGTTGATACATGTTCTTGAGCTCGGTTAGCTCAGGATCATTGTCGGTGTCGTTCACGTATTCCGCCAACCTTTCGTCAGATATTGCTATGGATGCCACTGCCTTCATATTTGCACTGTCCACCGTTTCTTTGTTGTTCCGTATTCTGGACAGGAAATCCGCCACGGGGATCTTTTTTCCTGGTTTGTACTTGACCCTCAGACCGTACTTCTGCAATGATAGCCAGTACGGCTGAAGACTGAAAGGAACCTTCTCGAAAGCCTTTGTGAATATGCTCTCAAGAGGCTTGTGGTCCGTCTCTACCGTGATGTCCGTGTGGCCGAAAATGTAGTAGTGGTACTTCGAGCATCCGTTAGCGATCGCTATCATTTCCTTCTCGATCTGCGGGAGCTTCTGTTGCGCCGCTGAGAGCGCCCTGCTGTTGTAGGCGACCGGCCTACCGTCCTGGAGCAAAACCGCTCCCACAGCAAATTCAGAAGCATCTACGCTCAGCACCACCGGTTGGCTAGGATCGAAAAAACGCAGCACCGGTGCCCTCGTCAAGCTTTCTTTCAAGACCTCGAACGCTTTTTGTTGCTCACTTGTCCACAGGAACTCCACATCGTCCTTTACCAGATCTCTGAGAGGCTTTGTCTTTTCGGACATGTTTTCGATGAAACCTCCAACGAAATTGACAACGCCAAGAAAACGTTGAAGCTCTTTCTTATCACTCGGTGTCTCGAAGGCCTGGATATGCTCGATTCTGTCAGGGTCTATTCGGAATCCATTTCTGCTAACAATGTGCCCGAGATACCTCACCGACGTCTTGTTGAAATGACATTTACTCGGGTTGAGGACAAGACCGATTTCTCGGCATCGCTGCAGCACTCCCTCAACCCGTTCCTGTTGCTGTTCCTTTGTCTCACCCCAGATTATTATGTCATCGATGTAAGGGATCACGCCGTCCATGTCGCCGAAGATCTCGTCCGTGACTCTCTGAAATTCGTCGCTTGCTGTCGTTATTCCGTAGGGAACCTTCAGAAATCTATACCGGCCGAACGGGGTGATGAATGTGCACAGATATGATGAAGCCGTCTCCAGCTTGAGCTGCCAGAAGCTTTCATCTGCATCGAGCGTCGTGAAATATGCAGCCTTAGCCATCTTACATTGGATCTGCTCCAGCCGCTTTGTGGGGTGTGGCCCACGCTGGAGCGCCTTGTTGAGATGCTGGGGGTCGAGACAAAGTCTGATCCGGCCGTGAGCCTTCGGAACCACCACAATATTGCTGACAAACTCCGTCGGCGTGTTCACTTTTGCAACGACCCCGTTCTTGATCATTCTCGCGATTTCTTCTTTCACGGCCTTCTCCTGCGAGACTGGAATTTTTCTGCACGGATTCACCACCGGGACGTAGTTTTCCTTTAACTTCAACTTCACCTCAGCTCCTCTTATCGTGCCGGGCCCTCTGAACACTTCGGGAAAGCGTTCCATCCACCTGGTTTTGTCTTTATCCTCACTTACTGCTCGGACTCGTCGGATCAGACCCAGTGCTTCGGCTGTGTCGCCGCTGATGGTCGGCAGCAGACTCGAAGTCACCACAAAGAATTTTTCCACCAATTCCTGTGACTTGTACGCGATTGGAAGGTGAACACACTCGGTCGTCATGTGCTCGTCGTTAAAGTAGGAGATTAGTTTGGTCTTCGAACTGTGCAACTTCGCCGATCTGTTCGTTTTGAGAAGCTCGTCGACGAGACACTTGGGCAACAAACAACATTCCGCCCCCGTACTCTACTTGCCACGACAACTCTTTCACCTCCTA